AGACGCGATTTTCACACTGGTCAATTATTTGGAAGAACTATAAAGACAAGGGAGCATGTTTTCAGTTTATTCCTATATTGACTAGCTTTGGTCTTCTTCATTCCAGAATTTCACAGGCTATATTTCTCCTTCACTGGTAAAATTTTTAGTTTCTTATAGTCTGCTTACGATAAATCAAGTCATTTGTATCCTTGCCCTTACTTGAAATGCAGTTTAATCATAAATTTCCATGTCGACAGACACTGTTTTTCCCTCAGCAATTTAGAGCTCTTTTTCTATGGTGTTATTTATCCCATTGTATATAAGAAATCTTTCAATTTTATTTTATTATTTTATTTTGCTATATATGTCTTGGTTTTTCCTTTTATCACCTTGAATTTTTTTTTACTTCATGACTATGTTTTGTTAGTTTGATCATGTGTCTTGATATGTTTTATTCACAGTTTTAATATTCATTGAATTTTTTGAGCCTGTAGTTTATAGTTTTCCTTGATCTTGACGAAAATCAAGCCATTCTACCTCTGACCACTTCTCTACTTGCTCCCCTCATTCTGGTGGTTGCTCTTTCTTGTCCCTGCTTGCTCCTTTTCTTCCTGAGGATTCCTCTCTTGCATTTATCAATTGCTTGATCTCGCCTCCTGGCCAAGTGTTTTCTGTCACTTCCACTTGCTGTGTGTCTGTTTCCCGTCTTGCTTCTGGCTCAAACCTTCTTTGGGCCATCATAGCTGTAATTATTTTTAGGTTAATATTGCATGGTGCTATACTCTTTCTTCTTTTAAAAATGTTAGACTGTTGTTTTTGATGAGTGACTATCTTTCTGTGTGTGTTACATTGCTATATTAGTGTGTGTGTGTGTGTGTGTGTGTGTGTGTGTGTGTAGCTGCATGTATACTTGCCATGCACGCATGCGTGGGGCCCAGAGGGTGATGTCTGATCTGAGTTATCTTCCTCAGTCACGTATCCATCTTAGTTTTTGAGATAAAGTCTGTGGCTGAATTTGGAACTTGTCAGTGGATTGCCTGGCTAGCCAGCTCTAGGAATTTTCCTGTCTCTACACCCAGTGATGGGTTAAAGACACTTTGTCACCATGCCCAGATAGTTTATATGGCTGTTGGAGATTTAAAAAAAATCAGATCTCCAAGCTTTCACAGAAAGTACTTTGTCCACTGAGCATTCTCCATACTTCCATAGTCCTACACCTTTCTTCTCTCTTCCTTTTCCTTCTTCCCCCTGCTTCATTTTCTTTTTCCCCTCTTCTTACTCCACCTTCTTCCATCAAATTTAAATGTATTTGTGATTGAAATATAGATACATACAATCTGTATATTCATGGAGTATCATATAACATTTTGATAATGTATGCATTTGAAATATTATAACTCTCCTTATGCATTTATCATTTTTATAATAAAACAGTAAAAATCCTTTAAATAGTTACTATCTACAGTCATATCAGGGATTTTTTTTTGTCCCTGTACATGCATGAACGTACCATATTCACATTTGTTCAGTATTCTTTCATTTTTTAATTATGCACACTATTAAAATGAATTATTCAATCTTGTTCTGTGTTCGGTGAAAATGATAGCTTTGAAACTTCCCACAGATGTTTTCCATTTGTATTTACCGAGGCCATTTTTGCAAGCTCTTATTATGTAGCCTATACTAGTCACCAGGTTCTGTCCTTCCTGTTACCAGTCCTGAGTGCAGGGATTGGAAGTGCACTGATCTTCGCCTCCCTTTCGATAGTTTAGAATTCTTTATTTTTATATTTCTTACATGATAATGCTGTAATATGTATGTATAGTTTCCCGTTGTCCACGATGTGGCTTCATTGTTATCTTTTATAATTTTTTTGTTTTCTAAATAATTAAGGAAGCTAAAATTTCTACCAGATAATATTTATGGTTATAATGAACACACAAATGATATTTTATATTAAATTTTTCTTTTGTCTTTTAATTTTATGTCGAAAATAGGACTTTTCTAGGTATGATACATTTGGCTTAGTATGTAAATATTGCTTATTACAAGAACCAATTAATTTTTGCATATAATTTCATATAGTGGGAGACATCAGGAACAAATATGTCACTATGCCTAAAGGCTAAGAACATTTCATGAGCAATGTTGCAACTGCTGTGTTTCAAGTTTCAATTTTACCTTTCCCTTATCATTGAGATCATAGGTCATAAGAGTATTCTCAAGCAACGCTTAGAAGGTTTTCTGTGTGACATCAAGCTTTGCAGAACTCATTTTAATCAATGCTTATAAAAAGGACTCTTCTACTTGAATAATATGTGTGGAATGTGAATTAAATTTTCCTCTATTGAATTTGAATAGATTTTTGTCTTAAAAGATCAAAATTATCTGTAGGAGTCACAGTCTTTTTAAAGGATCAGTAATAGTAACCTAGTGTTATGTTTATCAAGAAAAGAAAGAACAAAAGAAGGAAGGAGGGAAGTAAAGAAAAGAAGAAAAGGGGACAAAGAAAATTAAAATAAGGGGGAGGAGAAACAGGCAAGAGAAACTGTCACTATTCCTCTGACATTAGATATTGTGTGTAGGCTAAATAAGAACTAGCATTTGTTTTTAATAAAATGCTGCACATAATAAATACCACAGTGCTGAGGATTTCTAAGCAGTGAACAGGATAACTGCTTGTGAGTTTTGTAAGTTCCTTGAGTTATGTTTTCTTGATATAGGTAGGTACTCTTTTCTTACATAGATACATTCATATTTAATTCACAGATATAAGTATTTAATCAAGAACAGATATTTTTCTTTGCCTTGTTTGATATTAATGCAGCTAATATCTTTGACCTCGGTGAAATATATTCCGATAGATTCTTTGCTGTTGTTTTGAGTGTGTGTGTGTGTTTGTATGTGTATATGCACACGTGGAAGCCAGAAATTGAGGTTTGATGTTTTCGTCAATCACTTTCTAACACACACACACGCACACACACACACACACACACCTTATTATATCGATATGTGTGAACTTTGAGTTTGTAAGCAAGTGTGCACCTGTGTGTTTTGGGTTCGTTGTGTGTGCATGTGTAGGCCATGACTTGTGTGTGTTAAAAGGGCAACTGGTAGGTGTCAATGTTTCCCCTCCACCGTATGCATCTGGAAATTGAACTGGGTTTTTCAAGCTTGGGCTTGGGTGTCTACTTGCTGAGCCATCTCCCTGGTCATTCCACCATGTTTTTCACATCTCTCTCTCAATAAGCCCACTGGGTGGCCACAAAGTCTTAAGGTTCCTCCTTTATCTGCATTCCTAATCCCAGGAATTCAGGTGTGCACAGCTGCACTGGGCTTCTGTGTTAGTGCTCAGGACCTGTCAAGCTTGCTAGCCAAAACCTGTGCTGAGTCATCTCCCCAGCCCATCTGTGGTTCTAATAACATTAAAAGTGACTTTAATGTGTATTTCTATTTTTTTAAAAAAGTTCCAGTCCCATTGCCTTCTTCATGCGATGCTGCTTCTGTGTTCGTAGCAAAGAGTGTGATGGAATTGCCATAGAAGATCTTGAAGGTTTAAAAATGTATTTTCTTATGAAAATGTTATTGAAATAAAAACTAAATTTTAGGCAGAGTAGATTACTGAGAGAACTCATTTAAGTTTCATAAATAGGTTTTATCTAACCATATTTCAGTAAATAATTATGGCAACATGTCAAAATCAATTGTCAGGATCTGTTTTCTTCTTTGTACACCATCCAAGGGCAGTGCTCCTTTCAAAGCTGTTATTCCTGTCTGCCATCATCTGGGTAACCTCTAGGTTCTTAACTAAGTCTTTTCAAAAATATTATTAAGTCAAAACTCTATCTTACCACAAATTTTTATTCTCAATAATATATGAAATAAATTATTCACCTTATAAGCCTCTACAGAGTAAAAAACAATGTCAGGCCTTAGAATGATATCAAAAGGAAAGCAATTTAAAATTAATAAGAGAGAGAATTGGTTGTAGGTATTATTGTGAGGGTTTTATATGTATGAGAGAAAGATTTATGTCTAGAATTCTATTTTTCAGCTTAACTTGGTCGCTACTCGAATCAGAAAGTATCTATTAGTTCTAAATTATAATCACTTTTATGCAACAATGAATGAACTATACTTTCTAGATCTGCAGACTAACTATGTACATCACTCCAGTTTACAGCCATGATATTCTAGGGTAAAAACAAAGCCTCATTGAATGTAGGGACTTGTGACTTCTGTATTTACATTTGAGAGTTTAACCAACCATGAACAAAAAATATTTTCAAAAAATTATGCCTGTATTGCACACATCTGTTTTTTTTTTGTTCTTCTTCGTGAGACTTATACATTTATGCTGTGGGAAATACAAGTAGTCTAGAAGTGATTTAATATATGCATATAGATCTTTTTGGATTAAAGACAATTTTGTGATACTATTTTTAAAAATTAATTTTCAGATTTTATTTATTTTTATGTTTGCGTGTGAGTGCCTACATGAATCTATTTCCACTATGTGCATGTCTTTTATTTTCAGAGGCCAGGATGGGGTATTAGATTGGAGCTAGAGTTAGTGGGGGTTGTGTGTGTGCTAAGAGTAAGCATCTAGGCAAGAGTAGCAAGCGTTCTTAACCACTGAGCCATCTACAGAGCCCTCAGTGTGATACTATTTTATATTAAGGACTCGTGATACAGTTTTATTGTAAGAGGCTGCTCAGGTTCAGACAAGAATGAGACTCATCCTGAACTAACCCTGGGATCCCCAAGTGATGAGTATATTTTATATTGATATTAAAGCTAGTTCTAAGTGAAGAATATGAAAACGATTTTTGTTTCTGCACTTCACTAAGAAAATTTATACTTTATGGAATATAGCATACACATGTGTAATCCTACCATCGCCACAGTTTCCGAATTTTGCTTTATTCTCTATGTTCTAGAAATACCAATTTTGTGCCATTACTTTATCCTAACAGAGAAGAGGAAAAAAAAAAAAAAAAAAGAAATCTACTTACAGCCAATCAACATGACACAAATGGAGAAGATTTTCTCCGAATTGGTGTTGGGAGACACATTTCCAAATCCTACACTGGTCAAACTGCTGAAGGTAAAATAAAGTGCCGTGACGTATTTGTCTTTAATGGACGGTCCAGAACTCGAGTCACTGTCATTGTAACGTTTCCCAATTTGTTGTCCTAAGGAATCCAACCATCCAATTTTGTCAGTCAGATAGGGCCTCTCTACATTCCCAATCGCATACCAGATGCAAGCCAGCCAGTGGGCAATCAGGGCAAATATGCACATTAAGAGCATGAGAACCGCGGCGCCGTATTCGGAATAGCGATCCAGCTTCCTGGCCACGCGCACAAGACGAAGGAGCCGCGCAGTCTTCAAAAGACCAATTAATGTTGTTGTCTGTGGAAATAAATGCGAATGGTCAGAAACAGCTGTTTCAAGGTATGTTTTTTGCAAGGTAGAACTGTTAACAGAAAATGGGAAAACGGACGAAGGCTTGAATCAAGTATGAAGATTAGTGCTTCATCCAAAGAGTATTAATTCCACTTTGAAAAATATGGGACTTTGGAACCCAATGTCTTGGCATGCAAAATCCATGGTATGAGAGTCAGCCTTCACAAGGTCTACAAAAGTGACTTTCATGCAATATGCCTTACTAAATAAAGTATTCCTTCCTCAACCAATGTCCAGGGAGTCGTGTGTCTACCACGTACCACGCACCACAATTACAATGCAGGAAAAAAAGTTCTCTCTAACAGAGACAGACAATTATATAGACAAGGGATCTCCTCTAATGAAGAGAAAAAAAAAAAGTCTGCTGTTTCCAGGCAGAGAGATTGAAAAGTAAGATCTTGGGATTAGCATTAGTTACGGTTATTGCATAATTGCTCTTTGGCAATATAGTTTGTGGTAGAGATCACAAGAGAGGAAGACCCCAAAAGACCTTTCTAACTAGGCTGTGATGAAGTTGAAAAACACCTGAGCGATGTGAAGGAGTCAGCCAAGCTCCTTCTTGTAACTGTGAGGAGCCCTTAGTGGATACCTGCATGCACGAATTACAATCTATATTTAAATATCTCTTCCTTTCTTTTCTCCTGAATGCATCAAATTCATAAATCGTTTCTTGGTATTCTGAGGACATCACAATTGTATTTTGGAGTATGATGCATGTTAACTAATTGCATGATTGTTGCTGACCAGGTATTTAACAATAGGATACTTTTACATAATAACAGGATATTTAACTGGTTGTTAGGAATCGAAATCTGATAAGTACAAATTACAAGTTCATTTCTTATGTTTCCTAAATAATGTCAACTAGAAGTAGTATATAATTCGCAGAGCGTGTAATTATTCCATAGTTACATGGGTGTTTACCAATCAATTATTGAGTCATTTTAGCTCTTTGTTGTGGTGTTTATTTTACAAAGTACTTCCAAGTGTGGTAAGAATGCTAGCACACAGAGTAGCTATCGCCCCATCGCTATAAAAATATTGATTTAGTGAAAAATATTACTGAGTATACAGGAAAACTTTTAATGGAAACATTGTAGTAAATCTTCCCTTTGTTCCTTTGTTACAGTCAAGCAAAGGAAAATACTTTAGTTTCCCTTGAATTCCTTTCTCTAAGATTGGAACTCTTCAAAAGTAGGAGGACTTTGCCTAGCTTGGATAGACTTATCATAACAGGATTATTATTATCATCATTATTATTATCATAACAGGATTATAGTTTTTGTTCATCTTGGTTGTGCCAATAAATAAGTTAATATTTTTCACAATGCAATGCAGAAAACAGGGTTTTCCTTCTTCACATCTTTAAAGACACATGCCCCATCAATGAATTCCAGAATTTAAGAGAGCATTACAGAGTTCACTGGAAGTAAAGTAAAGGTCCCTATTTATACAAATACATCAACACTTTTCCTTTGGCAGTTATGTACAAGGAATTTCAAACAGGCAACCTTATAACTAAGTTCTACATGGATAGCATTACATTGCATTGGACAGGGTCTTTTTATACTCAGGCTTTAGTTGCTTTGTTTATAAATGGAAAGATGATGTCTACACGGGTGTAGGTAATATCTTATAAGTGATAGCTCTTCATATTTCTATTTAAATATTTCCTCATATTTCTGTTTCTACTTGTAGGAACTTTACGTTATAAGAGGTGATGATGGAGCTTACATACTTTCCAAATATACTACATAGACAATTGGAATCTCAAATGGAAGCCTGGCAACATGGATTAGGGTGCCCTCAGAAAATGGATGGGTCTTGGAAAGACAAGAACTTCATCCAGGTAAATGATTGCCAGGCGCTTACAGCAGGAGTCCCATTTGCTCAGTCTCACCACGTCTGCCCAGTCCAGACTCTTGAGTTTATTTCTTCTCCTAACACTACTGCCTGTTTACGTACGTTTCAAAAACCAGAGCTTGTTAAGTATTATTGTGCAAATGCTAAAATTCTTATTTGGTTTTAGAATAAAAAGCTTTAAAATAATTTAAATATAACGGAGATTCACCAGGTAGTAGGTTAAATTAGGTAAATTCCTTACAGAACACTGACAGTTTCATAATGGGTTGTAAAGCGGTAGACTAAAAGGAAAATAATAAAAATCTGCTGCGTAGGCTTCATACCCTTGTGCATTTCCACCTCGAACACTCTAAAAATTTCTACTATATTTACTTAATAATGAAAATAGAATTTATGTGAAGCTAAGTTTTTTTTCTAAGAATATAAATCAGTATAATTTACATGATCACATATGAATGACAAATATTCTAAGGGAAAATAAGTTTAAGAAGCCTTGGACTCATTCACAATTTTTATACCTGATAATTACAGGAATAATAAGAGAAAGGAAGGGCAGAAGGAGATACAGGAGAAGAAGGAGGGAGGAGTGTAAGAAAAATAAGCCGGATGGAAGAGGAAAGATGAAGTTGTGACTCACTTTCGTTGTCAGGAGAGGTTGAGTGAACAATACCTTTGACAGTCATTCACAACTCTGTAACATTTACCCAAGCTCAACTACATGAGCTAGTTTTATGTTGTACCATTTTTCTGTTGACAAATGCTGCCAACTCCCTTGGATCGTCTTTGCTACTGACCCGTGTGCGTACTGCCATACTGTCTCGCCTGAGATTATAGAGAGAAGCTAAGGGATGGCACCAAATCTCTGAGAGAATGGGCCAGGACATTTCCAATCTTTTTTTGCTGAGTAGCTCTTGGCAAAAAAAAAAAAAAAATTAAAAAAAAAAAAACCACCTCAGCATGTCCTAAACTTTGTTGACTTTTATAAATAGGGTAATAAAAATAGGTAAAAAGCAAGTACTTCTACAGTAGTGAAGGAAGGTACTTTGCCAATTTTACCTATGAGCTATAGTAAGGAAGACACAAGGGGTCCTAGAATATCAAACTTCATCTTATAGGATCTGTACAATGTAGAACTCAGCTCATTCATTATTGCTGAAAAATATTCAATTTTTCCAGACTGTAATAGTAAAGAAACTTTACTTACACAAGATTTTCATTTTAAATGTTCTGCTTAGTACTTTTTAATTCGACAACTTTCCTTAACAAATACAATTATTTATATCTCTTGAATAATGAGTATAATTCAATTATATTGTTTTAAAATATCTATTATTTATTAAAGGTCTTAATTCCTTCTGATATTGGTAGAAATTAAGTTTCCTCATTAAATAAATTACTTTTTTGATTAAAGATACAACTATACACTTGGAAAAATGATGTATCAGAGACCAGAATAAAAAAAAAGTATAGTAATTTTTTTGATGAACATCATATAATAAATTGGTCAATATCTTCCTTCAATGTTGTAAAACTTTGTGAAGTACTGAAATTAGTTAATTCCTGTCAGGATTAATATTATTAAAAATAAGTCTGTGTAGGGTTAATTTGAGAAAGCTTTGCCAATAAGAAAAACTTATATGCTGAAAAACTTTAAAATTTACTTTGTATTTATAAAAATATTATACTAAAAATGTTTAGTGTACTTAGAGAACTTAAAGTCACTTAATAAAAGTTAACATGAAGGTAAATTATAGCAATTATTCTTTTATAAATGATAAAATATAAACATGTTCTCTTTGGCTTTATAGAATGGACTACAGAATCAGACATCAATGAAACTTCAGTTGAATGCATTATTCCACCCTACTTCCCAAAAAATAAATGTATGGAAGATACAGAAATATTTGCAAATAAAAATTGCAAGATTCCATATTCAATGTTTTTACTTTAAATTTTATTCCAGGTAATTCCCATTCAAATGTATATGTTACACACCATTTAATGAATTATTTAAACAATGCGATTCAATGATAAAATTGTCTAGTTTCTAGCCTTTTCTTTCAGTTGTCTAATACTTTTCAACATTTCTGAGGACATGTTTATTAAAACTATTAATATCTGTATCTGGATATGTGCAGAATCCTAAGGAATTATCTAGCTTGTTTCTTTATTCAAATCAAATTTCCCAATTGCTTTTACTAACTATGTATTCCAAAGAAATGATTCTACAGTTTGCTGGGGAATTCCTTTCATATTTACCAAGATTAATGATTGATACACTTACACTGTATCATAGTTAACAATCTATTGTACTGTAATATTAAATTTCTTTCTATATCACTGAAGTAACATAGAAACTGGGCATCAAATAATTGTAAGTTTTAACAGAGAAATAAACCATCACATGTAGAAGTATGGATGTTATACCCTTTTAATTGAATTTTTAATTTTTAATAGAGTTTTTACCAAGAAAATTGCATTCTATATAATCTCTATCATTTTTAGTCAGCCACATATAAATGATATGTAAAAGATTCACTTAAAGAAAATTTCTTTTCCAATTGGTCATCTTGTATTTAAGTCACATGTCATGCCAGAGTTGAGAGGCATGATCAAAGCTCCAAGTGGAGGTCAAGGAAAATTTCTGTAAAATACAAGCCAAACACTATCTAAAGAGAGAGAAATAGCTATTTTATTGTTGACATGCATATACACAAAATTTCATGCTGTGCTCTGTTATTTCAAGAGAAATATGAATACCTCATTCACATAATAATGTCTAGGAAATTCATGGCATTTATCATAAAGATTAAAGCAAGAACAGCTCACAATATAATCAGAATTTCTACAGAAGTCTACTAATGTTTTCTGTATGTTCACTCCACAGTTCGTTAGCGTAATGAGTGAAACTTTTTTTGTGAGCAGACATTCCACTTTCTTATTGGAATTTTGCTTCAAAGAACCTCTAGTTATTTTGGTTCTAAAACCTTTCCTTCCTGTGTTTACAATTCATTTAAAAAATATCACTAAGGCATGAATCAGAGGTCAACAAAGCAAATAATTGAAAGCTAGAATTTTAATTATCAGGGGAGGGAGGAGATAATGATGTATGTTTCTAAGTAGAGTTCTCTAGATCCTAAGTGCTAATGTCTTGAAAATTCGCCATGGATATCCAAATATCTGAATTTGATTATCTGAAGCAGATAATCAAAACTGATTTTGTGGAGACAAAGAGAATGATATCGTCCTTTAGCATCAATGATATTGACGCGAATTATTGTGGCAATGTCACACTCGAGGAAGCCAAAGTTAGGAACCACAGAACTATTTCTCTTTCTAGATGATACCAGCAACAGTAAGACAGAAATAATATAGGCAAGCTGAGTAATCCCCTGCGCTCATTTTCTTCAAAATGTTTGCAACAGTAAAGGAGAGCATCTAGTTATTACTAATCACATTCAATTATAGTAAAAAGTAACGTTAGTTTGAAAAATAAGAGCAATTGTGTCTTGTTTAGTAAAACCACATAGTCATGCTATCCACCTATTGTATGTGTGTTTTACAGATAAAATGGTATTGTTACAATATTAGATTTAGGAGTTGACTATAAATAAGATAGTTTAACATTCAGGTAAAGGAAGATATTAATAGTTAATTGACAGTTAGAAAAAATATTTTCTTTAAGTTAATTGATGATGCTAATATGTAAGAAAAAGTCATTCAAATAGCTCAGCAAAAATTGTTTCTAGTTTTAATCATTAGAAAATAACATCTTCATTGATTTTCCTATGTATATTTGCATGTAGTTTCACGAGTACAGGAAAGCCTGGGTGTTTGCATTCCAGAGATGGCCACCACACTACATATGTTTAAACAGTACAATTTTCCCTAAAATTTAAAACAGAAAAATCTGTTTTAAAATTCATAATGTGAATCTTCCCACATGTATGTATGTGTGTGTATGTATGTATGTATGTATGTATGTATGTATGTTTGTATGTATTGAGATGAGGTTTTGTTAAATAGCTCAAGATGGCCTTCTTCTCCCATACGCTCAATACATGGGCATGTACAGCTAAGCCTAGTCTCTAGACTCTTTTAAAGGATTTGCACAGAAATTGATGTGCAATTCTGATAGGCAAGGACTGGTTCAAGCCACCCATTACTGGGATTATATCTAATTTTTAATTTAAAGACTGTCTTCTCTCTTTCATGTGTGTCTTTCTAGTTACTCACAGGGTGCCTGATTTGTTTCCCAGCCATCTGTATTTGTAGGACTAATAAGCATCTCATACTTATGATGGCCAAAACATCTCACTTTACACTTTTTTCTCCTGTGCAGTACACCTGTTTCTCCCCATGATTTTACCATCGGGATAAAGACATTACCATCTATGAAAGTTGCTTATAAACGTACCTTCTCTCTCATCCCTACTCCCACCATAATAACTCAATGCGTGAACTACAAAATATGTTTTGAATCATCGTTAGTTCAGATTTCACTTTTATTTTTTTTTCATGGGTATTTAATTAACCAGCAATTTATGATAGGTGGCATTTCAAACCTTCCATAAACGTATCTATTTCCTACATCTCTATGGTGTCGTGTGTTCATGCTGCTATCTCATCCACCGCACATCACAGCCTGGGCTTTAGTCTGGGCCCCTTGCTCCTGACTGCTCATCACAGAGAACGGTCTATGCAATCTTTTATGTGTCAATCAAAATCAGTTCCATTCCAGAGAGTCTCGTTTAAGCCACAATAAACAGATCTCATGCTTCTTTGTGATTTAGTTCCCATATCTTAGCACCTCATCTCTGACTTTGACTCAGCCTTGCTGTCGCTGGCATGTTTGCTCTTCTTCTAACATCCCATCCCAGATAGTCAAATGCTCCAAACAGTTTTTTAAAAGTGTTCTGTATTGTAGACTTACATGACTTAAATTTCCTTCTTTCTTTCTTCTCTCTCTCTCTCTCTCTCTCTCTCTCTCTCTCTCTCTCTTCTTTTTTCTTTTTTGTTGTTTTTTGAAGAAAGGGTTTCTCTGTAGCTTTGGAGCCTGTCCTGGGACTAGCTCTTGTAGACCAGGCTAGCCTCGAACTCACAAAGATCCGCCTGCTTCTGCCTCCTGACTGCTGGGGTTAAAAGCAAATGCCACCATCGCCTGGCAACTGTAAATTTCTTGTAAGCCTCAACTCAAACGGTCTTTTTTTAGTGGCCTTTCCTAGTCTCCAAGTCTGTTAGAAAATGACATACCATTGTTTTCACCCAATTTGTGTCATTTCAGCATTTGCTCTTCTATGAGAGTGTAGAGCAGAAACACATCTAGCTGCTTGACTTCTGAATCTGGAATAATGCTGGCTGCTCTGAAAGCTACCAGTAAGCATTTGTTGACGAAGGAGATAAGGTATGGTGCTACAGAATAGGAATGATGGGCAGCGTAGGGTCCAGGAAGCCAGTTAATGGCCTAATCTATAAAACTGGAATAATAACTTCCCAGGTCTGGTCTTATATGAAATATTTTTGTAGTTAATTCTACTTCTAAAATTTATGGGAAACACAGTATTAGATTTTAATGTTACCTCTTAGAAGAATGAGATCAGTATACATTGTGATACCTAGAAGAGTCTCCAATATAATTTTGCATTTCCTAAATAATTTCTCAGTGTCCTGATGGTAATTTACATATGTAAAACCAAAAATTAGAATATCTATTAATCTTTCCAGGAGTCTCCTCACTCTGTAAGCTTCAAATTCTTCATTTTTTTTCACCCTCTTTTCCTTAGACAGTTTCACTCTACAGTCATGAGACTCTCTTAAACTGTTCCTTGGTTTATTTTATTCAACAGAATTTTGCTGTAGTACTGATTTATCTGAACTACATATTTTTAAAGGAATTTTACATTTTTTAAAATGTGTAGTAACTGAAATGAAAATAATCTAGCATTTCTAAATATCTCTAAATATACACTTTATTATTATCATTGATGGAATATAACTTTTCCTACTATTCTATTTGCCTATTCATTTGTTTTCCAATGTTTGAGTCACTGCTAGTGTGTGTATAGATAGTTAATGCACACACACACATAGACACACACTCATATACAGTGTTCACACTTTTGAAACAGTGAAATTTTTATTCTAGTTCGTCAGGAAAATTTTGTGTTATATAATTGCATGTATCCCCCATTATAAGACATTCAAAGATAAATATCAATGATGAAGTGTTTTATATTCTTGTGTTTTAGTTCCAACCCAAATTAGGAATCACCATTAAAAGATCTTTAATGACTTTTTTTCCCTATTTCATAGGGGTTATTTCATTCTAATGCCAAATAAAATAAGAAATTAACAAGGAAGATAACTTTATTAGCATTCTTTTACAGATGATGAAAGGGTGCTAGGACTTCATCATATTCCATTGTCCTGAGCTCAACTAATCTACAGTTTAGACAAGCCTTTCAGTAGAAACAGAGACAATTCTAAGTGTTCTGATTCTCCCTGTCTGACAAATATTCTTTTGTCCTGAAGCCTTCAGAGACTAGGAAGCATGTATCTGTTGAGATCTCTTTTTCTCTTGGAATATGCAAATTAGCAAACCAAGCAAAAGTTGATGATGAATTCTTTGGGGCACTGATTTTTTTAAAAAAATATTCAGCATATTTCTTGGAATTACTTTTATACCTCCCATGATGGTTAGTTTTAATTGTTAAATTGTGAACTTGATAAAATATAGAAAGCTTCAACGAGGGATTATTTCATTGGCTTGAGGTATGTCTGTAGGGGAATTGTTTTTGAATGCATTTATTGATGTGGGGAGACCCAGCCTGAAGTGTGTGGCACCATTTCCTGGGTTTGCATCATTGTATAAGGGAAGAGAGAGCAATTAAGCAGTAAGGATGTATGTACTCATTCTCCTCTGCTCTTGGCTGTAACTCTGACCAGCTGCTTCAACTTCCCGACGTCTTCACTCTCCCACACTGATAGAATGAATAGAACCTGGAACCTGGGATGTAAAGTAGACCCATTATCCTCTAATTTTTTTTTGTCCATGTATTTTTATCAAAGCCCCAGAAAGGAAACTAAGGCACATATCTCCTGTAAATCTTTTCATTATATAAATATTTACGTGCTATAGCAGTTAGTGATGGTTAAGTAATGGGGACACTAACTGAATCTGTCCCAAAGATTCCTTTGAAGGTCTGATTATTTTTATGGACCCACTGTACAGAAAATGTACTCAATACATCCAAACTTATCATATTTCCTTAAGCTTTCCAACTTTATGAGGTATTAGCAATATGCATTTGATATTTTCTGAAACGTGAGGGAGAAGTGAAAGAGTTTTGGATAAAGGCATTTCATAAGGTGCCCTTTTTCATAGTTTGAACAAAGAACAAGTTTCTCTTTGTTCCACACCCTAACTAGTGATGTAAGAAAGAAAACAGCCTTAATGTTGGATAGCTTTGCACTCAAGAACTTCTCTGTACAAGTTTTACTCACTAGAATAAAATGCTCTGTGGATGTGTTTTAAAATTTAAATTGTTGGCTACAGCATGGATAGTATTTTTGTATCTCTTAGCAAATATAGAAGTAATTTTAATTATTCACAACAGAAAAATGTCTTCATTTCATTTTACAACATTTCCAGGTGTAAATGAATTTCATCTGTGAGATGTAGGACTACTTTTTTTTTTTTATCTAGCTTACTTTTACAATTGCAGTCTTTCAGAAAATAAAATTCTTAAGCAGCTCTTACCTCATCAGAACCTGATCCAAAAATCAGCAAGTCAAAAGGGATGGCTGCAACCATGTCAATCAGGAACCAGCCTTTGAAGTAGTGTATTGCTATTTTGGCAGGATCACTTACCACTTCTTCATTTTGATTTACATAGGTTGTTCTGAAGTTTATTAGAATGTCTATAATAAACATAATATCCACAATCAAGTCTACCACATTCAAAGGGCTACAGGAGTAGCCACATTCTCGCCTTTTTTGTTCTTCTCTGTCATTGAGGAGAAAGGCTGCAGAGTAGGGGGTGAAGATAGCAGTATAAATGACCAGTAGTAAAATAAGCCAATCCCAGACTGCTTTGAAAGGGCTGTAGTGCAATATGGTAAATTTGTTGATGCGTGGTGTCTGCAGCTTGTATTCTGGCAAGACATCTGCTCCCAAAGAAAGAACCTGAGTATAAGAAAGAAAAGCAGACATGCATAAAAAAACGCATTTTAAATTCTGTCATACCTGTAAAATAGTAAGGCAATTATAGAACACGATACATCAGAAAGAAGTCATGTTATTTTGACATACTCGTGAAAAACACACATACATTTATATGAATCTTACATAATGATTTTTGGTGATGTTGTCAGTTAAAAAAAATCGCAATGACATTTCTTGATAAATAAGATTTTTCAGCAAAATTTAATGCATATTATTCCTGAGACACTGAAAAACCATTAGATTTTTAAGTACATGAATGTTTTCAGAAATGCATAAAATCAATTAATTTAAGTAATTGCTCAGTTTTCAAATGTAAGGAAGTAGTAGCTGTAAAGAATAAAAATACATATATATACCTAAAGTCAGATTTGATTTATTCATACTAATTAATAATTAAATCTTGATAAATTAATTGAAAAATGAAATCTTGCTTAACCTATTCAGATCTTTAGTTAAGCATGATTCTCCTCCTTGTAATACATTTTCAGTAAGAGCAAAAACAAATAAGACTAAAATACACTCAAAAGAATCTCTTGCTTAAATGATGAAAAGATATTTAATATTCTGGAACAAGTAGTAACTTCATTCAATTTTTTTCTGAGATGTAGAGAATTCCACCGGAGCAGGGAATGCTTCAGAGTTCTTCAGAATATTACCTGGAGCTGTTACAGATTTTTATCTGCCAAGGGACATGCAGACATTAAGACATAGTCTCTTAATAAAGTGTCAAGCCAGCTAAAATTATGTAGCTTATAGTTTTAGTTTATCTGAGACTATCAGAGCTAAACTTGAGTCATGTCTAAAGTAAATTTGTGATTTTGTGATTTCTACAAACAAATTAAAAAAAACCCAAAAATCAAAACAGGAGGGTTTCCACCTATACAATGTACCATACACTAAGCATGTTTAAGGGGCCTCTGAAGAACAACATTGCGCTCTTCACATCACACATGTGCACACTGTTCTGAAAGATGAAGCATTTACTAAGTGTACAAACTAGATTCTTCTAAATTATATTATTGGCTTTATGATATGGATCTCAGATCCCTGTTGATACTTTTTATAGTTTGGGAAATTCTATACATATTGAATTTATCTTAAGTATAATAATAACCTTCCTGAGTTTACTTCAATATTCAATTTTATTTTTATTGTCATACCTTATTTCTTTTCTCCTCATGTAACAAGTTATTATCCCTCACTTAAAATAGACTTGAGAAGTCAGCCACCAAGCGCAATGGCATGACTATTAAAGCATAACATAGGAATTTAGCTAAAATAGGCAAATGTGGTTATGTAATAACTAAAGCAATTTAAGTAGCTTTGGAACCTGAGAACCTAATCTGATTATTTATCCAGAGCACAGTAAATATGAATAAACAAATACATGGAGGAAATGGAAGGTTACCTCAAACTTTGGTTGAAAATGACAAGCTGAGCATGAGGACAATATAGAGAGTTCAATACAGAGAAAAGCGATCTAATATTTCATAAAATATTAAAAATCCTTAGAATCTAAGATATGCTAATGTGTAAGGATGCCATTTTCCAAATCCAGGAGGGTAAAATGTGTAGCTTAATATCTCTTATCACTTGGAAAGAGGAAATCAGATAGAACAGTATTGTAATTTTATTCAGCCTGGAAAGTTAATCTATGACATCTTGGTTGGAAAGTGTGGACTATCAACTGTCATGCTAACCACTGGGCCTTTCTCATAAAACACCATCTCCTTATCTTGTACAACGTAACACGTAAAACCTTATTTTGGTTGTCAAGATCTAAAAAAATACGGATGTGTTCTATTTTTCCAGCTCCCTCCCCCTGCCAGGTTCCTGCATGCTATGGGCTACTCCAAGAAAGGGAGGTTGAAACTTTGAGCCAAGCAGATTTTTCTAAACCCTGAACCTACAGTTTTCCTCCGGGAAGAAAGATCGTGTAAAGAAAACAGCAAGGATTACGAAACAGTTTGTTCACAAAGAGGTATTGTCTGGGATTACCTTGGAACTCCTCCCGGAGAGTAAAATGCACACAGCGCCTGCCTTGCAACTTCTGGGGAGTAACGCTGTGGGCTGCAACCCTACCCTACCACACTGACATCTGAAACGGTTGTACACTGTTTCGGATGTCACGGCACTGTGAGAACGGTAAGCTTTTGGAGTTTCACCTTACTAGGTGTCTGAGGGTGGGAATGGTGCCGAGGTGATATTCGTAGAAGTGTCAGAAAAAAAAAAAATGACAGCTATGTTGAGACTTTGAACCAAGTTACAAGTGCATAATGTCGGGGCATGAGGAAACTGAACCTAAAGCACATTGCAGGAGGAAGGACAGAATCATTGACGTTAAGGGTATTACAAGCGGAGGAATTATAAGCAGACTGCATTTATGCTGAAGGGTTATACACAGGGAAACAGTGCAGAGGACGAATTATAAGCAGACTGCATTTATGCTGAAGGGTTATACATAGGGAAACAGTGGCAGAGGACGGCGCTGGGAAGGCATGGCGCAGGCTACGGAGACTCTAATGTATGTGGCACGGACCTCAGGTTTGAGTGTTAGGGAAAGGTTTCATACATTTTACATGTAAATTCCTTTTAAAGAGAAGTATATTTATGTCAGAAACCCCCCGATTTATGTTATTCATATTTAAAATATAAAAATAGGTTAAAATGGTTTAGCATATACCTCTCAATAGGACTGTTATGATGCAATTTGTACATCTCAAATACATGTTTATGTCCTAATCCACAGCACCTGTAAATGTGACCTTATTTTGAAATATGCCCTTTACAGATAGAATCAAGTTAAAATGAGGCCAGAGTGGTACAATAATTGATGCTTGTATAAATGAAGAGAGATTCGGGTGCAGAAACACAAAGACACATGTAGAGAATCCCACAAGCTAGCGGAGGCGGGGCGGGGGGGGGGCTGCATATCAAGGATGGCCAAGCGTGTCTTTTCACAGCAGGGCCCAAGAGGGGGGAGATGTGACTTTCCCCTTAGACTTTCCAAGAAACACTGTGTTAATAATCTGACTTGGAGCAAATCAGGACCTGTATGAGGGAATATAATTCCATTGTTTTAAACACCTTTTAATGCTTTATTTTCTGCAGCCACAAGAGAGTAATGAAATCACAAAAATAGAAACATATAATTTAGAAAATACTTTCCACCTGTGAACTAAAATGGTCAGCATTTGACAATTCTGTGGACCAAACAAGTCAATCATTGGCTACTTGACATGGGCCAATCTAATATGTAAAATCATGATTTTTCTTTTCAAAACTCCATGCCTTTTTGAGAATGTCAAAATAGTGTTACAACCATCCAAGCTTCAATTGCTCTTTCAGGATATTCTAACATAATCCTTAAGGCAAATACTGCTCCTGCTGGCCTTTGGAAGCCAATTTAAATGGCATTACTTTGTAACTCTACCAGGCTTTGTTTACTTAGAGCTAACTTTAGCTTTAAGGCTTTATTGAATTCTGTATCCAGTGATTATATAATCAACTTATCTCTGGAACTGGGCTTAGAATATAGTACTTTATTTATTATATTGCAATTTGTTATGTACAGTGGGGTGCATTTTGGTGGTATGAGATCAAATGTTAATTTAATTTACAGGTTTTTAACTTGTGCCTGGCTATGTGTGAATCATGTGATTACTCGATCATCATGCAACTTTATTAGTAAAAGAATTTCAATAAATTCTGTTTAATGACATATTTTAATATCACGAATTATTACTATAAATCCAAATGAGTTGGGGTTGAAGTCAGGTGGGCATTAATTCTGTATTGGAAGGTCATTGTTTTCATGATTCAGAAGATTATTGTACTGACTTAAATATCACAGAGACAGAATAAGATATTCAGAACGAATTCATCGCCCTATGGTAATCAGTTTGAAGACTGTTAAGTATTGCCAGTCAGGAAACATGGTCATACTTAGCTTGAGAAAAATGTATCTGGTAATAAAATGCTGGTGAAAATAAGGCCCCGATCAGAGATCAGAGCTCATTGAAGTCTTTGGTACATCAAGAGAGACATATTAAGAGGAGATTTGAGGGACCAGGCATCAGAGATGTAGCAGGGTACACTTGAGTTATAAATGTTTCCCAAGAATACCCATAGCTCCAACCCTAAGACATCTAAATTAGTGTGACCTGTGCTATAAGTCTTTGAAGGCACAACTGAGATAGGAATAAGGGAAAGAACGTTTCCAGAAATCTGAAGATATGAATTTAAGTATTAGGTATTAAATTTTTTTATGCTAAGTCATTAATCTTTTCAGATCTCAGATTTTTCACAATGATAATAATATATGCCCAAATCACCACTCTATGCCGAAGTATTATGTCATGTCATGCCATCATATCATCATATCTCTTTAATGAATTGGATAATAAAACAGGGAAGTTTTAATTATCACATATATAAAGCATTTTCATCACGGTTTAGAATTGTAGGGTAATTCACATCATGGCTTAGACATACCAATAATAGCAAAAGTATTTGTACACCGCATGGAGAAATTTTAATTGGGACTGAAATTGCTTTAGTTACCTACTCCTTAAAACAAACTAGGCCAAAGTTTTGTGAATTAAAAGAGTAGATATTAATTATTTATAGTTTTGTGCTTCAGATGTGAATGAAGGCAGGGCTTAGAATGCAGGAGTCCTGTGCTGTTTGCTGACAACTGGGGTTTGTTTAGGGATATTTACTTTGTGAGAAAGCCAAGATTCACGTGATTAACTCCTTGCTATGGCTAACTGCAGGGCAAACCCCCAATATGCTGAGGGGCTTTGTTCTTCTGTTTGTTTTCTCTCTCCCTTTCTTTTGCTTCTCTGTTTCCTCATCTCCCTTTCTTTCACTCTATCCCTTTCTTTTCTCCATCCCTCCAATTCTTTGCTCCTCTGATTTCAATAACAGAAACTTCTAGCCTTCTCAGTGTCTAGACACAT